CAAGAAAAAAGAGGGCAAAATATCAAGCAAAACAGCTGCTAAACTGTCAACTAGTGCTAAGAGGTACGCTGTTCTTTCTGGCTGTTTATTTTCCTTTCTCTTTTTTCAGCTGACCAGCAGATGTATGTATTGACTCAGTATATTAATTTTCTTATTGTTTTATTATAACACTACTATGTCAGTGCAATAGCCTTTTGAGGCTGGTCGCAATAATGAGACCTGTATACTTTTTTCCTTTCTTTGACAGATTGGTTCTTTCACATGGTTTTAATAGTAGCTTGCATGATAAAAGCTGACATTTTTTTATTGCTAGTAAAACTCAGACAGTTTTGTAGCCTTATAAAATATATCTCTGTATGTGTATATATGACTGATGTTGAAACTTGTCAGTGTAACTTACAGTTAATTAACCATAAACATTTCAGACAGTTCAGTAACTCAGCATGTTAGGACTACCGTAATACCTATTGCTGTAAAGTACTGCCTTTCCTTTTCCCAGATGGTCAGGTCAGAAATATTTGAGCGAACAACAAATGCACATTGGTTTCATTATTTTAAACTGTGGTCTGTTTTAATACCCATTTCTTTCCCTTCTCGTTTCTGCTTGAGAGGAAAGGTGGGTTTTGTAGAATAGCTATTTAAATTATTCCATGCTATCATGTCAACCTCCAGATAGCAATTGTCTTGCTTGGACCAGACAGAAGGAATTTACAGCCTAGTGTTGCTCCGTTAGTACACGTAGGGGTGTTAGTCTAGGCAACAGAATTTAAATAGGATTATAGTGATTGAAGTTAAAAAACACTTTTAAAATAAACTGACAAGAGACCAATTCTGCAGACTGCCTTTCTGCAGGCTTCCCAGATCCTGTTTCTTTGCTAATTCAAGGCCGTGTAAAGTACAAGAAAAACCATTGGAGTTGTGCCACTGTGGTGCTGTGGTAAAGGAGAAGCAGCAAGGCCGCATCGCCATAATTTATAACATATGCATGTAGTAGTAGTCCATAAATACCAGTATATAAACGTGTGTATGCATCTCTTAAGGGTCCGAGTCTTCGTCTTGGCTTAATCTGCGCCTTACCATTTACATACTTTTCTGAGTTGAAGTCTCTTCTGTATTTCCAGTGAGATATTGTCATGCTTTTCTTCTGCCATAGGCGCCTTCCTTTTATCTAGCCTTCTTTTTTTTCTTCCCCGGTGAAAAGCTTTCTGAAGACCCATTCCTACCATGACACTATTAGGAAATTACTTTGTCATATCACTTACAGGATGGCCAGCAAAGGTTGCCCATGTTTGCTTTTATGACTAAAAGAGGAAAAAAACAAACGCTTTCACTTCAAACCATGATGTTATTCATGTAGTTAATCCTCACAGCCATTATGGGTTCTGGCCTTCTTCTCTTTTCATCTGCTTCCTGCTATTGTTATTTTTTAAATATTAGGAATATTGGACTAGTCATGACTTTTAAGGTCAGTAAAAAACAGTTTTTAACATCTTTAGAGAAGAGTCTGTGTGTTCTGAACTTTGTACTGTGCCTAATGTAATGATGTCACAATTCTGACAAGGGCCTGTGGACACTATCCAATTAAAAAATTAATAATGATATGTCAGAAATTGGTCTATTAATCTTAGCTTTGTATCTTCAAAGCTTAGAGCTTTTATCAACATGCATTTCACAGTGATAAAATTACTTAAACCTTTTAAAGTTTAATCATATCTGCTTATGGTTCTGCGGAAACTAATTATGCCAGTTGCTGACATCAGTACGTTTGCCAGTTAGACTCTAAAGCCAGTGTCGTATGTGTACTAATATTGAAGGAAAGCCTTTGATTATGCATTTTAAAAGCTGAGATGATTTATGAGAGCTCTGTAGATATGTGCACAATAAATAATGTTTTTGAAAAAATGTATTTTGGGAGTGCTGGTTGTCATAGCACTTTGTGGAAGGATCACAACGACGTACTTTTTATAGTAGCTGTTTTTTGATGGTATCATGGTATTTCTTTTTTTATTTTTTTTTTTTTTTAGTCTTCAGTAGTTTGTCACTGGGATTACATTTCTATAAATATTCTTAATCTGGCCAGGTTTTTATATGGCAGGTTTTGTTTCTTTGCTTTTTAATTAAAATTAATTAATTTTAAAAAAATAATTAAAATCAGTAATGCCTCAAGAAAGGATAATCAGAAATTAGAGGAGAAAAAGGAAAGGAGTAACATGAAGGCAGGAAAATGGCACAGTTCTCAATATGTAATAAATGTTACAGAAACTGTCTATATAATGTATCTTCATAGTAATATTATTATTTTTGTTCATTAGAAATGAAAAATAGTGAAGGAATAAGGCTGTACTCCTTCAGTAGGAATTTTATTCTTGACTGTGTTAAAAAAGTGGTCTTTTAAAAATGGAAATAAATTGAAGTAATTCAGCTGTCCTGGTGAAAAAAGACTGCATATACGCTTACCAACTTTTAAATTTTCTAGCTTTTGAATTCTGTGGGTTTGTGTGACATTACTGTAAAGTCACAATAATCTTCACTTACGTGTTTCACTATGCGATTCCCTCTAATAACCCAGTTATAGTTAAAGGAGTCAACTCTGCTGAAGTCAGTAAAACCCCCAAACAACAAGAGTGTACTACAATTGTGGCTTTGGTCAAGATTCCTTAATTCTTGTTTAAAGCAGAGAACACCAGCAAATTAACATAGCATTGAAGCTAAAGTCACAGACTACAGACTTGATTCTAACCTGAGTTTGGAAGTCATGTTTTCTCACTTGGAAAGCTTTTTCATGCATATGGAATTGTAATCACAGTATTTTTGGATTACATTATGATACCTACTGTATATCTTGGATTAGAAGGAAGATTTGTGCATCTGTATTTGCAATACTTCTGTTCTGTTTTTTATTTGTATGTTTACCTAGTCAATTAGATTTAAAGAATTTTCAGTAGCATTAGGTTTTATACAAAACAAGATTTAGCAGTGTGATGGCTTTTGCTTGTGTAAAAGTAAAGTGCTGCCGTGTCTTATGTATGAATATACTACTCTCACAGCTTACTGCTTTCCAAAATGATCTGATTATGGAGGCTATATGAAACCACTTGAATTCACATTTGAGTAAGATTATTATTTTTTTTTTGAGATACGGTGTTTCTTGTGTTAGCGTTGCTATAGATGGCAACAAGAAGGCAGAAAGCCATCGAACGCTGTCCTTCTCTGTTAATACTTTTAGGACTAGCTGTTATACAGGTGTAATAGCTTACAGCATATGTCATACAGTGTACTGGTCCTTCAATTTTACTTGCCCAGAGGGCATCACCTTAAATAGCAACTTTTTTTACCTAACATGTCAAGATTGAGAAACTCGCTGCATATCACAATTACAGTTCAGACATGGAATTGAATTGCTGTCCTTGAAAACAGCAGGCATCTTGTTACCTCTTAAGTAGCAAATCTTAGCATGACCTTTGAATTGAGAGAAGTGTAACCATTCTTGGCTGACATAGTAGCTCAACAAATAAATGTATTGTTTTGCTTGGCTCCTGAAGTTGATAGCTGAAAGTCTGTCAACCTTCTTGTCCGGTCCTGGAATTTTTTTATAAATATCTGTGCCTACAATGAACCGTGAGCTTTAAAACTTTAGATATAATCTTTGCTTTTCTTTACTGAAAGAAGTTACAACCTTAAGGAGTAGCAAATAGGTATTAGATTACGTTTGTTTGCAATTCAACAAAATAAAGATTAGCTTTTTTTTCCCCCTCTCTTTCTCAGAGTTTATCACAGCACTATTTCACTATTTTCAAGGAATCTGGGAATGATACTTAGCATGTGGAATATGCTTTTTCTTCTAAGAAATATCCTTGTCATTGTGCATCTAGTATGGAGGCAAGAATATTTCTTTTTCTCCAGCATGAATCTGACCATCTTTAGATCAGTTTCCTGCTCAGTTACAGTTTATGTGAGATTGAAATACATACCAGTGGTTGCATTTCTTAGTATATTCTAAATAGCACATTCTTCAGTGTGGTGTATTGGTTCACCTGGCTTTTATGGGTAAAAAGGCATGTATTTTAGAAAAGTAGGCATGGTAAAAATAGCTCATTGTCATAGAGTGCTTTATTTTGCTTCTTTTCCTGTTAATCATATTGGGAAATTCTCTGACATGTTCAGTTCTCTCTTAGCTTTAAAGAACTTTAACTGTTTCATGAAGGAAACAACACAGTCCCCCTAGGCTTGGAACAGTAGTAAATATCTGTCTTTGAGAATTAATAGTATTTGAAATCCACAATGTACTTTCATGCTTCTGAATTTAGGGGTAGATTAACCTTTGCACTATTACTGGAAGGCAACTATGTATGTTCTTTTCTGCTAGTAAAACGGAGGGGAAAAATATTTGTGTGTGTGTGTATGAGAGAGAGGGGTCAAATGACTTCTTTAAGACCAAACAAAGAGTATCAGATGTGACATTGCAAATTAAATGTCCTATGTGTAGAGCACAGGGCTTTGGTGACTAGCAAGGGCTTCTCCCCCTGCCATCAACCCACTTCCCAATTTATAGTAAACCAGTATGCCATTAGTTTAAATATAATCCCGATATATATCATGATTTTAATTTAGAGTCCTTTCTCCTTTCTGACATAACTAGTGAGGCAGAAGATACAAAGAAAGAGGTGCCAGAAAGGACCCTGCAAAAGATGTTTTGTTGCCAGCGGCCGCATATGCTTGCGGTGAACCCTCTGTGGTCAGCGAAGGAAATGAGGCACATCCTCTCCTATGCCAGATTCTGAGGGCAACTCAATGGAGATATGAAACAAGTGCCAGGGCAGTGGAATAACTCGTGCAGACAAAGGCCAGCTTGCACACTGGAGGTCTCTATCAGTGCAAGGCTCTCTGGGATGTTGTCTGACGATTTAATTGTAACTTTGAATGCTGTGACATGTGAACAAGCTATTGCGTGTCAGCTGCTCTGCAGAAAGTGTTTATGAATGTGCTCTCAGCATGAATGCAAGGTAAATTAAGGTTGCAACAAAAGGGGTGTAAGGTATGTATTAATTTTAGTTTGGGATGCCACAGAGTAGGAGAATAAACACGGAAAACTTGCGGAGGAGCAATTGATGGACAGTATTGTATTAACACATTGTATCTTGTTTATATAAAAATAATCGTAACTAGAACATCTCTTTATCTTCGATGCTTGCAAAAGCAATTAGGACTTTCGAACATAAATAGAAAGTACTACCTGATCAATTTTTATCACTTGAAGCAGAAAGGTATTTTGTTCTTGTTTAGTGTTTAGTACTCTTGGCACTGGAAGGTAGAAATTTTGGGTTGAACTAGAATAGAGGGGAAAAAAGGAGAGAGCTCTGTACTCTTTTCAGAATGGAAGGAACACGGGCTAGGATTTAGGAGGAAGAATGTAAGTTTTTTGATCTAGGACTTAAGCTGCCCTTGTCAATCCATTCGGACTCATTGTAATGCAATGAAATATTAACTGCTTTTACTAAAATTTGTAAAGCAAAGGAATAATCCCTGACTCTATAGAAGTTCAATGCCATCATTCTTTAACTTCCTGAAAGGAAGAAAAAGTAAAACGACCCATAAAACAACAAATTGAAGATTTCATGCTACCTAGGTTTTCCGTGATTTGAATCTTTGATAGCATACATTTCAAAAACACTGTAGAAATTTGTGATATACAGAAAAATTATTTTAAGCATCTCCCACACTTGTAAGATATCCCTTTTAAAAGGTGTGAACTGTTAGGATTGTTTAAATGGAGTAACTTTTTAAAAGCAACGGTTTGTTGTGCTTACACTTCACTAATCAGATTTTCCCTTTTAAAGAATGTGGTGGATTTTCAGTGTTACAATGACTTGCTGCAAATATTGATTGAGCAGCCTGTGCCTATATTTTTACAAGGAATGATCTTTACTGGGAAAATTCTATGCACTGGAGGTGTAAGTATTTACAATGAGTAGAAAAAGCAAATAAACATACAGGAGTAACTAGTGTGTGTATGTAGGGTTGGAGTGCATAGAGGTTAGAAGAAAAGCTATGAATCTGAAAGA